CAATGCCAGCAATCCCGTCGCATGACTAGTTCGCCTTCGTTTCTTGGTTTTTGTTCACAAAATGTGTAGTTGCTTGTCATTTTCGTTTGAGATCTTTACTAGTCAAAGTTTATTGATACTTTATATTTCGTTCTCTTTAAATTTATTGTTTTTATAGCACGCTTAAAGTTGAATAAGCTAATTAAACATAATAATAATCATTTGCTTTTTAACTCTCATGCGACTTCAGTACATTGATAAATTATTATGATTTTGACTAAATAAAATGTAGATAAAGTACTGGAAAATATGTTTTTATGTCTTCTGTACTAAACCAAAAGATCCTCAAGGAAATGAATGACAAAATAGTTTCACTTTCGTTGATAGTTTATCCTTTTTCGTTTGCTTCGCTTGCCCAACAGCACCCATCGCTTCCTTTTTCTTATAGTAGCATGACATTTCCCAAAGCACCTAGAAATTGGAGCTCCGAAAACAGTTTCCGACCATCAACTAACGCTTTAATTTTCAGCATACCCAAGCTGAGGGATCGATCCGCCTCGCAGGGCTGCATACCGCCATATGTGGAGCAAAACCGAACGATGGTGTTCCTGGTGGGACGATGCGATCTTCGCCTAATCTCTCCCGATCGCAAGCAGGTGCTGCTCTACAAAGACTTTAAGGACGTGGCCAGCTGCGTGCATGGCCAGAAGTCGCTGGATCATTTCGGCATCATCTGCCGGGAGCTAAACAACGACGGCTACATTGGTTACGTGTTCAAGTGCCAATCGGAGCACGTCTGCGATGACATTGTCGCCGCCATTGCTCAGGCTTTCGACACCTGTGCAGAGCAAAAGAAAAAACAGGAGACGCAAATCTTCAGTTGCGAGCACTGCCCGATGCTCTGGTATCACAAACTATGTACGGATGTCGAAGGATTGTCCGAGAAGAAGACTCAGGCCCTGATCCTGCGCAGGATTGAAACCCTAAGTGACGACGAACAGGAGATTGTGTGGGCCAAGTTTTGCGGCTCAGAGAAGACCAACTCCCCGGTGGCCGAGCAGAATCAGTTCCTCATGATGTTGCTAAGGGCACACTGCGAGTCCAGGCAGCAGAGGCACGTTCACGACACCGCCGAGAATCGGTCAGAGTTTCTTAACCAATATCTTGGAGGCAGCACCATCTTCATGAAGGCCAAGCGCTCACTTACCAACTCCTTTGATAATCTACTCAAACGGAAGCCCTCTAAGGATGATATTGCTGTGCCTCCTCATAACTTAAGGGATATCAGGGAGGGATCCGCCGAGCCATTGGGCACACAGTCGCCGCCCGAGGGCTTTCGGTCGCGATCGAATACGGTGGGAGCAAGTCCAAGCAGCAAGCCCACAGCCGAGCAGCTTAAGAGCCCGATGATGGATATGTAAGTTTATAAGATTGTGCTTTAGGACGGGAGCATTAACCAACACCTTCTTTTCATTAGATTTATCAAAGTGGGTAATAGCCCAAAAGAGGCGGAAACCCACCAGGGCTCCTGGCGCCAGGCAATACTTAATAGTGTAGTGACACCCTCCAAGGGTCTGGACAATGAGGTGCCCACCGAGTTCTTATCGCCCATGCGCAAGCGTAAGTAATCTCTATATCATATAAAATCCGATATTAAATATTAATCACTAAATTCATTTCAAATAACAGCTGTCAAGCGTGGCAAACGCGATGCGGCGGAGCTGAGGGAACTGTGGCGAACTGCCATTCGGCAGACCATAATGCTTAACCGCATGGAGACGGAGAACGCGATGTTGCAGGCCCGCCAGAACGAGAACGAGCTGAAGCGCATCAAGTTGGACTACGAGGAGATTGTGCCCTGCGACAAGCAGCTAATTGAACGTTGGGAGCAGATTATTGAGCGGAACTCCACGCAGATTGGAAACAAGAAGGATCCCAAGGTTCTGGGTCACGCCATTCGCACTGGAGTACCAAGATCGAAGCGCGGCGATGTGTGGACCTTCCTGGCCGAACAGCATTCCATGAACACAGCTCCGGTTGACACAAAGCGATTCCCCAACTTCAATACGCCGTATCACACCCTACTGAAGCACCTCACTGAGCATCAGCATGCGATCTTCATCGATCTAGGCAGAACGTTTCCCAATCATCAGTTCTACAAGGATCCTCTGGGACTTGGACAGTTGTCGCTGTTCAATCTATTGAAGGCCTATTCTATTCTAGATCCGGAGTTGGGATACTGCCAGGGACTGGGTTTCATCTGCGGCGTCTTGCTCTTGCATGTAGGTTTTCCATGATTGAATTTCATAAGATCCCCCAACTAATTATTTTGTTTACCAGTGCGATGAGGCAAATGCCTTTCAGCTGCTGAAACACTTGATGTTCCGCCGGAATATGCGCACAAAATACCTGCCCGACATGAAAAAGTTTCAGCTGCAGCTGTATCAGCTCTCCCGATTGGTCAAGGATCACTTGCCGGATCTTTATGTGTGGCTTGATCAGAATGACGTCTCGCCCACTCTGTATGCTGCTCCCTGGATTCTGACCGTCTTCAGCTCCCAGTTTCCCCTAGGATTCGTGGCCCGCGTTTTTGACCTGCTCTTCCTGGAATCCTCCGATGTAATCTTCAAGTTTGCCATTGCTTTGCTTTCCGTGCACAAGCAGCAACTACTGGCCAAGGATAACTTCGAAGAAATCATGGACTACCTGAAGACCGTGGTGCCCAAGGTAGAGCCCAACTGCATGGAACAGATTATGAAGCTGGTCTTCAGCATGGACATTGGCAAGCAGTTGGCCGAGTACAATGTGGAGTACAACGTGCTGCAGGAGGAGATTACCACCACCAACCATCACCTAGAAATGCTGAATAGGGAGAAGACGCAAAACCAGCATCTCGAGCAGCAATTACAGGTGAGTTTTTGAACTTGATAGTGATATATATATATAGTAATCAATAATTTATTTATATAATGGATAATAAATATTGTATTCCTTCTTACTTTTCTCCTATAAAGTTTGCTCAATCCTCGATTGCTCAGCTGGAGACCACCCGCTCTTCCCAGCAAGCTCAAATAACTACGCTGCAATCGCAGGTTCAGTCCCTGGAGCTGACCATCCAGACACTCGGTCGGTACGTCGGCCAACTGGTAGAGCACAATCCCGATCTGGAGCTGCCCAACGAAGTGCGACGCATGCTCCAGCAGCTCGACGACCTGGAACGCCAGCGTCGCAAGCCTATATTCACCGAGCGCAAAATCGGCAAGTCCATTTCCGTCAACAGTCACTTGGGGTTTCCACTCAAGGTGCTCGAAGAGCTGACCGAAAGAGACGAACATGGTTCGCCACAAAAGCAGAAGAAGGAGAAGACACCTTTTTTTGAGCAGTTGCGCCAGCAGCAGCAACAGCATCGCCTCAACGGACAGTCCGCCAATGCCAGCGAGTCCGTGTCTCCGACGCCTCCTTCGCGTCCCAATCGGCTTCTGGACAATGCCAGTGCCCGTACCGTCATGCAAGTAAAGCTGGACGAGCTGAAGCTGCCTGAACATGTCGACAAGTTCGTGGCAAATATCAAGAGCCCCTTGGAGGTGGACTCAGGCGTAGGCACTCCACTCAGTCCGCCCAGCACGGCAAGTAACAGCAGCGGAGGAAGTATTTTCAGTCGTATGGGCTACAGGACAACGCCTCCGGCTCTTTCTCCACTGGCTCAGCGCCAGAGTTATGGGGTGGCCATCACCACAGCACCGTCTCCACAACACATGGAGGAAGTCCCGCCAGCGACTACGATGGCTGGAATGCCACACGAAGATGTAGAGGAGCCCCAGGCCATGCATCCGCTCAGCATGGTTGGAGGCGATGTAAACGTGCGCTTCAAGGGAACCACGCAGCTCAAATCCATACGTCCGGGCCACATGCGAGCTATTCCGCTGGGTGTAATGCAACATCAGTCGAGCACAGAGTCCACGGTGCGAGTGGCTCCCGTGCCCGTGGAGCTGGCACCACCCACGGCCACAGCGACCACCGGTCGCAGCTAACGGTTCTGATTCATCGGGAAACTGCTGCGCGGATTTTATCGCGATTAAGGCCCGCCGGTAGATCGGGCAGCTTAAAACCCCAACGATACTCATAACCTCTTCTGTTGCGGCTTAGATACGATTAACCCAACCTATAAGATACAAACTTCAAATACTTCTTTTTCAAACCGTGTGTAAGTGTCGATCTGCGCACAAAATGTTGCCATAGATATTGCTCCAAAAGATATGCAATCGTTATAAACTGATGCCCCAAATATTAGGCGAGTATATATGCCTTTAGGAATAAATTGGATAATGCTTTTTCAAGGTTTTATAAATTTGGCTACCGCATCAAAATCAAAGCTTGTAACCTTAGGCAACACCCGAACAGAACTACAAAAAGAAAATCAAAAGAAGCATTAAAGAGTCTGTAGTTCGCTTTAGTTTATCCCCTTACTATTGACTTAATATTTAACGAATTTACTTAGTAGCTTACTTGTTGATTTTCACGTTTCTTTAGTTTTAGACCATTAGTTCTTAATGTTATTCATAATTTACTTATATTTGTAAATTTCTCCCAGGGTTATACTTTGCAATGTAAACTAAAGTCAGAACCTAATGTAAAAACGAATTCCGATGACACTTGCTTGTACATTGTTCTTGAGTAGGGTACAACTTTCTGAAATCTCCTTCTTTTCAATTATGGTACTTGGATTATATTCATTGTTTACATATATATATATATATACGATTATGAAATATGAATATTACGAGCAAAGAAAATAGCAATTGCTTCTGTGTTAAGTACTTATGTATTGCTTAGCCGGACGGCTTTTATCGAGCGTTCGGAGTTTGTGTAGCTGATTTGTGTTAGAGTATGAGTAAAATCAACAACAATTACATGAAAAACAGTAATAAAGTCAAAACTTATTTAATCAAAATTGATTTTTGAGTGTTTAATTATTTTGGAACAGGGTGAGGGGATATAAAACATTACCCCCATAAAGGTCACATTTTCTAAATGTGTTGTCAATTGTCATTATGTTTTAAATAGTAAAATATAAAAGATTTTATAATCTATTCAGTAATGTTAATTTCTTAAATCGAACAAGTTTAATTTACTATATTTTCTAGTTATTTATTATAATACCGTTGTCTTAAAGTATAAAGCGGGTAAACAATTAGCTTTATTTATTTATTATATCACATAAAATTTAATGCTTACATGCTAATTCATTGGCAGCCCAAGTCTCCTATGTCTGACATTCTCACTATCTATTAAAAGCGGCTAGTCTAATGAAAACATCACAGTTTTAGTCATACTAAATTCAAGAAATTCTTCTTTTTTTATTAAAAACGGCTGAAAATTTTAAAAATTAATGTGGCACTCGAAGAATTTAACCTAGGGGAAAATTTGTTTCAAAAGCCAATTCAGCTACACTTTAGACAGAGACTAATGCCTCCTCAAAGTGTGGCTGAGTTGGTTTTTGGGGAGGAATGGATGCCATGTCCTGTTCCCGCCCTAGCACCCACAAATCTCAGCCCGATATGAAGAGGTACCTGCTTAAAGCGCGTATTTACACTAATGTCTAGAGTCCGTCAGTCCAACTAACTAGTTACATACTATCCTAAGGACATGCATCTTTTCTACTCCTTAAACTCCGGCTTAAAACTAAACTCCGCCTTGGGCTGCTGGACTCCAGTCGCTGCAGCTGCTGCCGCCGCTGCCGCTGAGGCAGCGCTGAGTGCTGCCAAGTTTCCGAGCATGGAGGGATTTTGGGTCATTCCTGGATAGAGATTTTGGTAGAAAAGTGGATTCTGCAGCTGGAAAAGGGCCATCAGGTGAGTGAGCTGGAAGTTAGGCGCCGTGGGATCCACTCCAGCGGCGGAGCCAGCAGGCAGTAGACCGGGAAACATTCCATTTGTCAGTGGGAGGACAGGGACTGTTGGCTGGGACTGGGACTTGTAATCATCCTCTACCTTAGGGCGCTTGGCTTCGGGCTGCTGGACATCGGCGGGCAGTTGCTGAAATGGTCGAGGGAAACATGTTATTTATTATCGGAGAATTCTTAAATATATTGTGTTTAAAGTAACTTAAGTCTGTACTTACCATTTTCTTGGGCGGCCTGCCGCGCTTGCGGGCCAGAAAGTGCTCGGCGGAGAGGGAGGAGAGTGGAGTAGAGGTGTTGCTGCCACACACGGTGTTGCTGACTTGAGGTTGGCCAACGCTGGTGGGCTGCTGCTGCAGAGGTGTGGCATCCAGCGATGACTCCTCCACGTCCTGCTTGACCTTGAACTGCTGGTAGGCCTGCTCGCCATCCTGACGATCGTGCTTCCTCTTGTGGCTGATCATTTGGCTGCTCGAATGCAGGATGTAGTCGCAGCCCTCACGGACGCAGTGGATGTGATTGCAGACAGTGGAAAACTTGCAGGCCTCAAAGGGACACGTCTCGGTCTTCAGGATCTTCTTGAAGCCATCCATCTTCAGCTGATGGTCCTTCAGATGGTAAGTCTTGTGTTTGTCTAAGAAACAGAAAATTTATAAGTATTAATTTAAGTCTTAAATGATTTATTTAAAGAAGGTCAGGATCCCTCTTATCAATATTTATTTTGGCTTTCTAATATCTTATTAGACTTACCCATATCAGCCTTGTTCTTGAAGGTGTGATTGCAGCCCTCGCGACAGCAGTGGTAGTGCGAGATCTTCTTGCCAAAGAAGGGACAATCCTCGATGCGGCAGTTCTCATGAGCCCGGAAGCGACGGAAGCCTTCGTTCACGATCTCGGAGTCCTTTCGATGAAAGTTGGCGTGCATCTGGACATCACTGGTGCTCACATAAACCTTCGGGCAGTGCTCGTATATGCAGTGGTAGTGGGTCTGCTTCCAATTGTAGACGCAGCCCTCTCCGTAAGCCGGAGCACAGTCGTCCGCCGAGGAGAAACGGGCAAACCCGAGCTTAAAGCTCTCCTTGCGCTTCTTGTGCCACTTCAGGTGCCGAATGATGTCGTCCTTCTTGCTCAGGATCTTGCCCTGGCAAGGCTCTTCATGGCAGTGGAAATGATCCCTAAGGTTCTCTTGCCGGCACAGACTATTCTCGCACTCCAAATAGGAGGACACTTTGCGCAGGCTCTTCAGCGTCTCCTCGTTCTGGATGAATGCCTCCAAGCCGCTGCCCGCCGAGAGGCTGACCATGCTCTTGCTTTGCTCACTGGAAGGGGGGGTCAGTAGGGAGGTGGTTTGGGTCTGTTGAAGGGGCGTGTTGGGGGTCGGTTCGCTTTCGACGGGCGTGATGTTGTACGATGAGTCCGCTGGCTGCTTGACCGGCGTGTACTGCAAAGAGAGGGAAAAGGGTGGGAAAACTTCATTACAAGTACTTGGATGCATCTGTGAGAGCAATCTCAGACTGCCTGGTGCCCACAGCTGGGCAGCGATCGGTCCACCAAGGGAACCCACGCGTTGCCGACACAGCTGTTTCTTTTCCCTGGAATCGCGATCTTTCTGTTTACCCTCACACTCGAACTTTTAAAATCACGAACTGTTCCATGTACAAATATCTCTCAAATTACACCAACAGAGCGTGGGATATAACCAAAAAACAAGGCAATATAAGGAATAAAGTTAAAGTTAAAGCTTTTTAAATTGGAAATTGATCAAATTTGAAATAAATCGCAATAAAGATGCCTTAAAAGGGTAGCTTAAGAAATATCATAAAGTAAGCAGTATTAACTTTTACGTTAGGACTCAGAAACTTTTATGTTTTATAAAGACCACTTACCATGCTGGGTGAGTCAAGGCTGTCGGTGGTTGACTCCAGCGGATGTACGCCCGACAGGAGCAGCTTCTCGGAGCTGGCATTGGTGTGGCCCGAGGAGCTGCAGCTGTTGAGACTGGACAGCGGCTTGTCATCGTCCTCCTCGTCTGCGAAGTCCTGCTCAAATTTAATCGTGACCGCCGAAAGGTTGCCGGCAGTTGCTCCTGCTGAGGTGGCTGGTGTGGCTGCCTTCTCGATTGGCGTGGATGTCACTGTGGAGGATTGCAGAAAATTATTTGTGGTAAACTGTTCGGAGTTGGCAAATTGGCCCAGCAGCAACTGATGTTGCAGCGGATCCTGCTTTCCCAGCGAACTGGGGGTGTGGGTGGGTGTTAGTAGGAGGTTGGTAGTGGTTAGCAATTGTTGCTGCTGCTGCTGTTGCTGCAACATGTACTGCGTCAGCGGCGGCAGTGTGTTGAGCAACATTTGCCCGACCAAATTCTGTGTGTTGTTAGGTGTGGGTGGTGTTGCTGCTGTAGCGCCAGTATATTGTTGTGGTTGAAAGGCAGTCAAATTACTATTGGGACTACAACTACGGCTACTACTACAGTTGGTGTTTTGCGAGCTAATGCGTTTGTGCGTTCTTGTCTTGAGAAGATCTGGCTGAGGCTGTTGCTGTTGCTGTTGGTGATGCAGTTGCTGCTGCTGCTGCTGTTCTTCTTGCTGCTGCAAGCATGTACTGCTCGTAATATCCTCGTTCTGTGTGTAGGTGTATCCAGCTAACTGCTGCTGTTGCTGCTGCAGTTGCATTTGCTGCTGCTGCTTCATCAAGTTCATCATGTAGAGCTGCATAATAAACTCCATTTGGTTGGACATTTTTATGGATCACTTTTCTTGATATTTTGAGCACGGCACAAGGATATTTTTGTAAAAATTCTTAAAGATTTCTTTCAGATTTTCAGTAGGTCACAGCACAGAACACAGCACGAATATTTCTCGACTTCGATCAACTTTTCTTGCACGGCGTCTCAGCGATCCTCAAAGTTCGGCTGCGAGGCTCAAACTGTTTCAACTCTTCCGCGGCCCCTGGCTAATATAGCAAAAATTGCGCAAATCCAAGTCCAAGTGCAACCCTCTCGCATCTCTTAAAAAACCGATCTCGCTCGCTCTCTGTTCTCTTAAAAAACGAGCTCGCTGAGAAGACCGTTGGTGGTGGCTCGACTTTCAACCCCTAGTTTTTTAGCGACCCTTTGCCGGAAAATGCTCTGGGAAAACTCAGCTTGTTTTCGGCTGGTTTCCGTTTTTTCGTTCGCGTTTTCTCGACCAATAAAATGCCAGCGTTCATGTAAATTTATCTAGAAAAGAGAGTTTTTTAGGTAAAAAATGTCATAGAATGTGAGAGAGAAGCGCGTATTTGTAAAGGAATCTCGCTTGGTCAACGAATGATAGAAAAGGATAGCAACAGATAGAAGAGGATAGATCACCAAAGGAATTTTAATTCGATTTTCAAACTAATTTTAGTTAATATCTGTCTGTTAGAACATTTTAAAAATAATATAGTAAATAATACTAGCTGATAAATCTATAGACATTTATATTTGTAAAATATTATATTATCTACAGATATCTTAACCCAACATCTTACTTGAAATGAGAAATTCGTTATAAAAGTAAAATCTAAGCATATCCTAACGGCTTTCTCACACTAGAAATTTCCCATTTCTTGTACTTATTTCCATAAATATAATCAAATCTTAGGCCGTACAAAGACGGAATCCGCATCTTTGTTCCTTTTCCTATCGCTTCTCTATGCAAATTGTCTGCACAAAGTTCGGCAAAATTGAGCATTGAAATGATTTCGAGAATTGGCGGGTCGCGAAATGGAACTGGAGCAGCTGCCTTCGGTTCTCGAAATAATCGAATGAAATCCATTCAAATGCAAAAAATAAAAACCCAAATTTTTAAATTAAAATTACAATCGAGCAAAAAATCTGCATTACAATCGTGCAAAAAAACACAATTAAAAATGCCAAAATTTTCATAGACCCAATGCAAAAAAAATTTTCATATAAAAAAACGTTTGCAGAAATGCTGAACGTGAGCAAACCCCTAAAACATTTTCCTTTCGTCGAAGCGACATGTAACATTCGCTGCTCAGGAGGAACGGATTCTTTTGCGGATTGTAATTTGCATAAATTATTGCTGTAAAATATTGGCTCGCAGATTCTGGTATTTGCATAATTTTGGCACATCAGCCCAAGGCGAGAGCGGGCGATTGGGTAGGAAACCCGACATCCGGATCACCAGCTCTTGCAGCTAGTGTTATGCAAATGGACCTGCACTTACGGCGGGGAGGAGGGTTTCGATACACTTCCGGGTCTGCAGATCGACTGCGCACGCGCGCAATCTGAAAATTTATGCAAATCAGCAAGGAAATCCCCCGAACGTCGAACAAATCGATTGGCGAGGGGCGGAGGCTGAGGTACGATTGATTTTGAATTTGCATTTCAGTGAGGAACTCGGCGAGGTTAGAGGAAAGGCAGGAGGATCAGGCCAGGACATGGTTTGTCACTTGGTTGGCGAATTGGGAATGAAGTGGATTTACCAATTGTTGCCATAATTGAGTGACATGGATAAGGCAGACAGAGAGAGCGAGAGCGGAGATGCGGACTAGCCGTGTTCGGAGCTATTGATTACAGAAAAGGTTGCATGCCACACAGTAAAATGGCAACTGAAAATGGAAATCTGCATGAAAATGCGAACAAAGCCCGTACATTTCGAATCCCTAGAACTGGGCTTGTTTTCCCATTCATAGTTCACCTCTGCTTTTATGCTTTTGCATTAGCCTCGTGATTTACATATGACAAATTCATATTCAGTTACAAATGTTTCGAAATACAGAACTTTTGTTAGTAGCCTTTGTTGAATGTTGTTGCTGCAGGCTCAGTTGATTGGAGATTTTCCAGGACAGTCGCATATCAGGATCCCCTGGATCCCGTGAAGCGACAATTATTATTTCGGACGAAACTTGGAATTAGCATTACACTGGCGAATCAATTAGCCAAGTGAAGGCATGTCACAGAACTGAGAATGGCACAAAGAGGCTTTATGGGGTTTTAATTGCCTCCGAAGTCCAACCTTAGTAGGACGAGATACTCATAGGAGTATGTTAGTAACTTATCTACGGTGTCATCAACGTGAGAAAATCCCTGGGAACAATTTGAATGAAGAAAGCATCCTCAATCTATCTCCCTAATTACGCCAATTGCCTGTGGCACTTCGATTCCTTTGTCATTCCTCCCAATTTTCACAATTTATGCTAAAAAGTAAACAAAATCGTTTGAATATTCAATCCGAAGGGCGCATCAGAGGGCATGCTCACCCTGTTTCCCATTTCCCTATTCTTCAGGGATAAGAATATTTTTCGTATTTTCTGTATTTTCTTCCTTTTTGTGATGCTTTGTTTTGGGATGCGCTTGGCCACAGATTTATTTCCTTAGATATTTTAGGATTTCAACTTCTACCCTCCTAAGGCAAATGTCACTCTAGCCTTAGAATTGTTCAATATTCGAATAAGTATGGGCGATTACCTTAACCATTGAAAAATTACTGACCCTTGGATAATGTTCTTCAAAGGTTTCATGCTAATATATTCACGGATATGTGCCTGAGCAGAGATTAATATTAAGTTTCTAAGTGGACACGTGCAGATTTCCATGGACAATGGCGGCACGAGTGAAAAGTCGAAGATTATCTCTAGAGGAAGACTGACCAATGGGCAGCGCGTGTGCCTGGGTAATGGGTTTCTTATTGAGTGGTCAAACAGGTTTCTCGAGAGGGTCATCGGTGGTCATCTTGAACGGTCATCCTTCTGGACGCGTGGCCAGTCATCAAGGACTAATTGCTACGGTCAGTGGTCACGCCTGATAAGACGCCATCTTACCTCGTACGCCTCATTTCCTTACCGCTGCTAATTTATAACGGTTATTCCTTCCGAATCCCTTCAAGGATCTTCATAAAAAAACTTGAGAAAAGATTTCCCATCTAATCCTTGTCCTTCGGGTCAGGACCTAATACAATGAAGCTGAAAGCTGCAATTTTATTCGCTTTTGCTCATCCTTTTGGAAGCGGTCCGGGAAAACAACAAAAGGGTTGAAGGGTCGCTGGAAGGACCGCCTCGCCCGAAAACCGGACCGGACTCGCGACCACGAATCAAAAATGAAAATCACAAGAAAACCGGTTTGGACATTGGCATTAATTTTCAGAAAGGCCGCGAAGAAAATTTCTACAGCTCAGCAAAAAAAAAAAGGTTGAAAGGATGAAACCCTTGCAGGATATACGCGCCATATGGCGGTCCATAGCCGGATCTGGTCAGCCTAGACGCGGTGAAGCGATGCTGTGCTTCGAGCCTGAATATTGGGTTTGATATTGGGTATCTGGTCCTGATCCTGTTCCCATTCTTGATGCTGCGGCGGCCTGTCTCCTTGGGGTGGCTAGCGGGGCGGCCAAGCGGGACAATGGCGACCGGGTTCGGGTTCAAAGGGTTCCCTTGCGGTCATGCATTCAAATTATCTCTCTACTTTGTCCTCAGCATGTCCTACAGCCGCTCTGTCCCGTTCGGGAAGCTCTGTGGCTGGAGGTCAGCCATTTTGCTGAACCCGTGTTCTCCAATTAACGGACATTTCTCAAGGAATTCACGGCCAACTTTTCATGGGAATCGACCAGGAACAATAGCTCTGCGTCTAATTCCAGAAAATGCAAAAAACTTGAGCACATCAAGTTTCAGATTTAAATATTCTTTAGAACATCTCAAATAGCTTCTAGGAAGTGCGTCTAAACATTCTCTTTTATTTCATATGAAGAAAACCATTTAGAGTGGTTCTATTTCTTTGGAATTGAGAAAACTAGAATTTTAGTTTAAAAACTAAAATTGCAAGTAAATAATTTCTTATTTAATTTACCAAAAGTAATATTTTTAACATATGATTACCAAAACCTGACTTGTCAACATTTTCCTAATGAGTGCAGAAACAACTATTAGGTCAGTTCCTCAGAAGGACGCGTGCCAGACTGACCCCTGGAATGACCGTTTGACAACCCTTTAATCGCTGACCCTTTGGGTCCATTCCGAAACTCGTTCTTGACCAGCTCTGAGCGATTAAGATTGTTCGGACGCGTGGCCATCATGGGGTTGGTCATTTCAAGATGCCCAACTGCCCTTCCCGAATACTTATCTCATTTGCATTGTCATTTGCAATGACTTTATCCTCAGCCATTGTCCAGCCGTTGCATCCCTAAGTGGCCGAAGCTGAGGTCCTTACTAAGTGTTGACAAAACGCTCGGAAATGAAGATCCCATTAGCATTGGCTGTGGTCATTGATAGCCGAGATTTATGCAAAAGGGACAGCACTCCGGTATTCCTTCCGTAGGGGTCAGGACTGTTGCACAAACAAAGAGACAGAATTGGCAATGAATATATTGAAATATCATCGATCTGTGGACTAAGATTTCATTGCCCCGTCTTCGGGGGTAGAAGTTAAGATACTCGAACGGTTTAGGCAATAAATCTGTGGCCAAGCGCATCCCAAAACAAAGCATCACAAAAAGGAAGAAAAGAGGAATGACAAAGGAATCGAAGTGCCACAGGCAATTGGCGTAATTAGGGAGATAGATTGAGGATGCTTTCTTCATTCAAATTGTTCCCAGGGATTTTCTCACGTTGATGACACCGTAGATAAGTTACTAACATACTCCTATGAGTATCTCGTCCTACTAAGGTTGGACTTCGGAGGCAATTAAAACCCCATAAAGCCTCTTTGTGCCATTCTCAGTTCTGTGACATGCCTTCACTTGGCTAATTGATTCGCCAGTGTAATGCTAATTCCAAGTTTCGTCCGAAATAATAATTGTCGCTTCACGGGATCCAGGGGATCCTGATATGCGACTGTCCTGGAAAATCTCCAATCAACTGAGCCTGCAGCAACAACATTCAACAAAGGCTACTAACAAAAGTTCTGTATTTCGAAACATTTGTAACTGAATATGAATTTGTCATATGTAAATCACG